TTCTTTAATAATGTCATGTGAATGTCATTGTATGTGATAGTGTATGAGCATGAATCATGTTATTTCTCTTTTTCCATGGATTCAGTTTTCTCTGTATATCTGGCAAGCCGATCAAATACATGAATGATAACAGAATGGTGCTAACATTAGGTATATAAATAATAAACACAAAATAAGTTTGCGTTCTTGCCCAGTGTGGTATCTAAACCCCCGTCCACATCAGAAGCCCAGTGGACTTCTATTATGTCCCGCAAGATAGGTAAAATTTTCTCAAAAAGTACCCCATGGGGCAGGAGCAATTTTCAAAAAATTTCTTGCCAGACGGGGCTTATAATGCGGGTGGGCTTCTAATGTGAGGGGGAGTTTATACCTTTAAAACCAAATCATCTGTGACAACGAGCGGCTGAGTAAGGTCCAGAAACATGTTTGTTCTAAATAATCGAATTCATTTTTGCAGGGGTAACTGAAAATGAGTGCGGCATACCAAACGGTTGCATACTTTTTACTGAGTCTCTGAACGTTTTTCGAAAAACAAACATCGCCGCTGAACTCAGCTACGTTTCCACGTATCTGAAGAATCTGTGAGAATTCTAGGCCCAAAACAGAGCAGTCCTAGTTGTCCGGAAAATTCGTTCATTCGTTCCGAACCAAGCAAAATGAAGCTTGTAAAGTTTAAGTTCGTTCTTTATGTAGCATAATGATAGCTGAATGAGCCTTTATATCACCGTAAACTCGTTCCATCACCACTTTGTTCTTGTGGAGAAAAGGAAAACCCTACTCATTATTTTTTACTCTGCTTACATTACGACCAGCAGAGGAATGAGCTTTTCGAAAAACTCAAAGTGCTGTTGAATTGTGATCAAATTCACCTTGATCAGCTGCTTTTAAGAGATGTAACAATTAGACAGCTACCAGCTGAGCAATTTATTGCAGCCTTTTCAGTAATATTACACTTCATCAAACGTACTGGGCGGTTTATGCCTTAAGGCCCTATTATCGCTATCTTCTCTTATCGCACTGGCACACATGGATCAACGTATCTATTTCTAAGTTATGTCTCTTCCTTTTGTCACCTATTATACACACATATAATACTTTCTTAATGTAGACTATTCTCTTTTTCAATGGATTATTTCTATTAATCTGCTTTTTACCGCACATAGGTAATTTGATTAACACTATTCATGTATCTTTTCGTACGTATATTCCAAGATCGAGTTTGTGTGTTCGATCCTGGTTTCATGCAAGGATTGATTTTATGTTTTGATGGTTTAAGTTTCAGAATGATATAATGGGAATCTATATTCTAGATTTCGTTCTGGTTCAAAATTAAAGCTTAATCCATATTCCAACGTCCTCTCTATCTCTTGCACAGTGAGATAGGTCACTGAAAGGTGAACGCTTATTTCCAAAATATCTGTGTGTATGCATATGAGTGGTTCTTGTCTTTTATCGCTTAATCATGTTTCTGTCAGCCACACCATATCACACTTCTCGATCCATCTGTAATTTATTATTTCTGTAAAATGCTTTTCTAAACTTTCGATATTGTGAAATCCTAAGCGGAACTGAGCCCGATCATCAGTGTCAGGATATCGATATTTTATCTGTCGTGTTTTTCCTACTGATTCTTCAATGCTTTCATCAAAAAAAAATTCAAAGCAGGTTCTCAGTAGTTGCTTATCGTCTTCTGTTAGCGATTCCGATCTCAATTTCTTACGAAAGCTGTTACACATAGCGTAGAAATGTGCATCCTTTATTCTTTGACAAATAGTTAGCTCTGAATATTCGAATAAATATTGTTTGTGAGATAAAGGGTTGAGCAAAAACAGGAGGAAGCTGATAGAAATCACCTATGACAATAACAGATATGTTTCCACAGCGAACATGTGAAGCTGTTTTCGAGACATACGTGAAATTGACTCCATAATGATTGATCAATCAGAGATATTTCATCAATAATCAAAATCAAATCGTCTAATTTAGAACGAAGGATATTCATCTGAGTTCTTGATAATCGATAAGATCGGGTAAGATCGATGGTATAACAAATAATTTAATCACCTATACACTATCGAGTATCACCCGACGATTTCCAAATTCCGAATAACCATACTCCGTTATAACAATACTACGATATTTCACTAATGTCCAAGCCAGCGGACACTCTGGGATAAAGGATTAATCGATGCATCTCGATATTTTCATAAGCTGTATCTTGCTGGTAATTGATTAATGCTGCAGCGTTTCTAATTCAACATTTGAAACACGCCTTTGACCGTCTTGATTCGGTACAGAAACTAGCCGTTCGAATTAGTCTTAATAGCTGTTTCCCGGAATGAGGACCTAGTGGAAAGGATAGGACTACAGGATTTGGCAACAGAAGAAAATATTGCAGGCTAGTACATTTTTACAAAGTACTTCGGGCATGGTGGGTTTTCGAAGTGGCTCTATATCAGCAGCCTCCATTACATTACATACAACAACTAGCAAGATGATGATGATGAGGCCACGTGAATTGGCGAAGCTGAGATTGAAGATAGTGGAGATACTGATGAACGTGTGAGTAGGTATGTTCCAAACCCAAATCCAAGTCTGGACTTGGGTTTGGGATTGGGTACCCAGGTCTCGGACTTGGATTTAGGTATTGGGTATCCAAGTCTGAAACTTGGGTTTGGATATTGGGTCAGATTTGGGTTATTAAAAGACTCCTTTTAACTGAGCTACCTTCTTTTGTTGTGGCTCTTTGAGAAAACAGAATGTAAGATGTTTATTTCGGTCTGTGGGCATACGTAATGCCTAACGCTAACGATAAGAGCTCATTTTGGATTAGTTCAAATATCCAACAGTTGAATGTTTTATTCTACTTATCTTGTTCATATCATCCTGATCCTTGAAACAGAGAAAAATACCAAAAAAATAAGCACTGATAACATGCCACAAATATGTTAACAAATGATCGGTGTACACTATAAAAAATGGTGTAAAAGAATAGGGAAAACTAAAGAAAAAAAGTGAAGTTTTGAAAGCGAAAACACCAACGATGAAGAGAAAAAGATAAATGATTAGTATGGCAGAAGAGCGTAAGGTACTGCTGCTAAGTTTCATTGAAGAAGAATATTAATGTACTTTGGCAACTGACCCAAACCCAAGTCTTAGACTTGGGTACCCAAACCCAAACCCAATACACCCAAGTCGCTTGGGTTTGGGTTTGTAACATACCTACGTGTGAGCAATTGCTTGGCCAAATATGACAAGTCAACTCGAACAATTATATGATTAAGAAGAGAAATGACTGCTGTGGGAAAAATAATATTGGTTCTTGAGAGTTTTGTAGTTTTCGCTTAGATTTCATCACATCTACGATCTTTTCACCTGAATTTTCCAGTTAGTGACCATTTAATACGATAATCTCTAATATATCAATATCTTTTTGATAAATACTGTACTCATCAGAAATAATAAAATATTCGATCAGGCATATTATTCACGATATTTGTTTTAATAAAGTTAGCTGTATTATGATTAGATTCAAACTCAAGAAATTGCTCCGTAGTTGTAGACTATACCAAGACGTACTCAATTTTCTGTTTTTGACACTTATTTTAACATCGAGGAACGGTAAAGTTTGATCTTATTGGCGGGGGGCAATAAGAGCCAAAATCGGCTCCCTCACATATAAGTCTTATATTCATGGATCTGACATAGTTTTTGTTCACGATTACACCAGACATACTTTTAGACCTTAAAAAACCCTTTTCAGTGCCCCTTAAAGCAATTTCGCATATAAAATTTTCCAATGAAGTGCTATTGATTCTTTTTCAAGAGCTGGTGACCCCAGATCTCCACTACAAAACGGAAGCGAAGCGACACCCTGATTCTGCAGCTCAGGCGTTGTATCCAATTTTCTACGAGTTCCAGGACTAGCACTCGGTGGCTGTTGGTATCGTTGAAAGCTTGTGGATAGCAGAAAGCGAATTTTACGAAAAGTAGGGTTTTCAGACTGTTGTCATATAATATTAAAAAATTCACTATTCATTCCAAAAACATCAGGATATGGTTAGTTTTGTTCGCTAAACGTGATTTGACGATGGAAAAAATCGAAAAAGATTATTTATATCGAGATGTTTGGCATTAGTGTCTTTTGGATGCGACATGTGCACGACATGATCTACAGGTCGGACATTGGGGGGGGTGTAACGAAAGTTTTTTGTCCGAGATAGTGTAAACTTTATTTTAAATAATTACCTTGTTACTGTTCTTTTAAATTTGGGGGGGCGGGGGTACGCACAGTTAATAAAACCAATAAAATATAATGTACACATTAATCACAATGCATGAATAGTCAAGCACACAAAGCGCTTCTCTCTTTCCCACTTTTATCCTATATGTGTGCCCGCCGCACATTACTTTTCAAGAAATCCACATACAGATTGATGTTATGACACCTTCAGTTTTCTTCGTATTAACGCCACTTTCAACATCGGTGTTTCAGGATGTAAGGACGCTCGCTACCATTTTCTGATTTCCCATAGTCAACTAGTCCTTGGATATCATCTTCAAACGTTATAACCTTACATTCTAATCGCAACCGTATTTTTATGTTTTGCCAACGCCGATGATGTTGATAGTTTCTTTCATATGGCCTTAGACTTTCAGTCAAGGGAATAATTATGTGAATTACTCAGATACATTTTCTATTCCTTTTATTCTTGAAACACATAGGCTCATATATATTTTTATTTCGATACAACAAAACGTTAAAAAAGTTTGCACCTTCATCTGACACATTTAACTTGTTGATGGATAATAATTTTAATATAAATGTGAGAGTAACACCCAGCTGTTTTGAAACTCATTTTAATTTTATTTGATTAGCTACTTGTTATTTTAAGTTAGTTTGTCAGAGAAAGGTTCTGGAAGATCAATTCGGTGCCGTACGTCTTACAAGAAAAGTTCACATATGAATCAAATATAAATTTTATTTAGGTTGAACTAATTTAAAAATTCTCTTCTACAGAAAACTTATATGTTCGTTGTTCATTTTGTTCTAATGTTGTTTGAATTGAAATTATATTACTATTTATTTTTACATCGTTGTTACTTGTGTTCAATACCAAATTTTTTCCACTACCATTTATAACAAATGTTGTGCGAACAGGTTTGTCTTTTTTGTTGTCCAGTGTTACGACAACGTCGCTACTTTGTTGTTTAACTTGACCGTTTTCCTCAACATGTTTTGTTACAGTGACATCAACTTTGTATCGTACCTCTTCATCATTACCTAATGTTAAAACTTGTGTGACGTTTTGTGGGGAATTTGCCAAACTGCTTTGTCCTAGAAAGAGACCATTTTGATGGAAACTAACCATACCATTAGGCAAATACTGATCTGGTGTTATTTCATAATAACGTTGATAAACTCCTTCTGATGCACCACTTGACAAATAGGCGGCTGCTTTAACTTGATAAGAAAGTTTAATTTTGACATCTACAAATGGAATTGTTTTTACACTTTTTGCATACAATGTATAACCTCCATCAAGTTTGTAAGTATGTAATCCATTTATTTCACCAGTATTTGTTATCGTGCTTAAATGCGCTGCTTCAAATAAAGGTCTTTTATCCATATGACTTCCACCAAGTGGAACATTACCCCAAATTAAACTTGTTTGCTCGACTTCAAACTTTTGTCCGTGACCGTTCTTGATATTTGCGTATGCTTTCAATGTTCCTTCTAAAATAAAATACTAAATACAGTCAATATCTTCCCTCAATAAACTTGTTTTACAGCTGGCTTTTTAGTTACAGAAAGCTCACGACTTGGAAACTTGACCTGACCCTTACCGCGCTGCAGCCCTCGAGACTGCCTTTCTGTAATTTATTTAATTTCTCTCAACACAGTTGAGAATAAAGTGGGTCGAAAAAATATTCGCCCACCACAACAGTATCATATTCTTTCATTTTCCATTTGAAAATCATACATGCTAGAGAGTCACTGACTTCACCATCGTGTAGAGCGTATTGTCTTGTTTATATCTAGATATTATCAGCATTTAATTCCGTTTTGTTTTTGTTTTACACGAAAAATACTGAAAAATCAAGTCGTTTTTCTTTTCTGAAAAATTATTTGCCCGCCTTTGAAAAGATTACATTTTCGAATCTAAATTAATATCAACGAAAATTTTTTATTTATTTTATGAGTCCGCCTTAAAGTGAATACGGCAGAGTGAAAAACGCGGTTGGGTCATGAAAAAAGACTTTTTATGAGAAAAGACATCGTTTGTCCGGTTCCTTAGGATGCTAAGATGATGGAACTTTTTCATCCATATACTAAGCCATATTTCAACGTGAACTGAGCTGTAAAGGTCGACACACATCGAAATATATACTTTAGATGGTATTAACGCACATTCGAGCATATTAAAGATCGAAAAAGACGAAACATTGCCTTCCTCTTCTCCAATGTTACCACATTGCAATGCTATTTTGTATGAAAAATTCGAACTTACTACATCGACGAATAGAGCACATCAAAATGTACTATAAAATACCAAATAGACAAAAGCTGAACTAATTTCTGTCGAGTTAAAAGGGTCAGAACAAATTCGTCGCTAACAAATCACTAACTCGAAACACCAGATAAACAAACTGGCGTCGAACCAAAGTAAATCGATACTAAATCCCCGTTTTCAGCTTAAAGTTACTCATGGCTAGCCTACATACTACTGCAACAATAGATTTAGTTTCACAAATAACTGCACTGGTTTAGTGCCAGTTTGTGCATTTGGCGTGTGTTTCAAGTTAGTGATTTGTTAGCCATAAATTTGGTTTAACCCTTTTAATTCCACAGAAATGAGTTGCTTTTGTCTATTCGGTACTTTCAAGTGCATTTGACGTGCTCTATTCGTTGATAATGAGCGAATAATTTGTCGACCCACTGTATATACGTCAGATATCATCAAAATAATTCGGTTACTCGATCTTCACTAACAGTTACGCGTCCACTGGCTAATCACAGCCCTGACGCTTCACCAGAGAAAAGGCAAATTCATTGTCAAAACTTTCTCTGAGTCACACGAGTTTAGTGCGACTTATTTTGAATTTTAAACTCGAGTTTAAAATTCAAAATCGTCAATAACTTTTTCTTCCACACTTACCATTGTCATTAGACACAGTTACAAAATAACTTGGATTCCATGAAATTCCATATGTCAAATAAGATAAATTGGCTAATATTGTTGTACTCTCAGTAAAACGTGCAACAAAAGTTGTTCCTTCTGTTTCTGGTTTATTTAAAAACTGTATACGAGATTTATCGGCATAAAAATATCGATTTGTTTTAATATCTTGTAATAGCCATGTATTTGAATCAATAACTTTTGCCATAATCTCATTACAATTACATGAATCTTTATTGTTTACCAAAACAAGTTGATTGTTTAAATCATCTGTACTACCATAAATATCAGTTTCAATTGAGTCTTTCCCTTCAATTGTTATTGTTTCTGGTACAATACTAGAATAATCATCATTTGAAAATGTTGTTCTAAATTCATTTCCATTTAGTTGCGTTTCACGTCGTATATGTGCAACAGTGGGATAAAGGGCAAGTTGAACAGCTACTAATGGTCCAATAAATAACGAAATGAGCACTAATTTCAACATGATTGATTGTAAGTGGAAAAATGTTACGACTAAAGCAGTTTAGAAATGGACTCGATTTACATTATATATAATTTCTTTTTCTTCGTTATTATTCTCGAACATAATATTGTGGGAAACTATTCACCTTGCGATCATAAAAAATGCACACTTATTGTGATAAAAAGATATATATTTTTTTGTCCTGGAACAATATCTTGTATCAGAGTACATACTTGGTGTTGTTACTTTGCGCTATATCATCGTGATAAAAGTTCGGTTCTGCGCTGGAAAAAAAACAATTTTCAAGGTTATCAATAAAGAAAACATTATAATATTGCGGTCATATAAACCAACAGTCCATGCAAAAACAACTCGCTTTTTTGGGTTAAAGGGTGGACCAGAAGTCCTGACTCGATTTGAATAATAAATTTTTCTATAGTGAAACAAGTGGTTGTAAATTTGTCTCTATGAAGAAAAGATGCAGTAAAAAACGCTCTACAAAATGATGATTGATTTGACCCCGTTAGCTCATCTAGTAAGAAACTTATAGGCTTAGAAATGTGCTTCACAAAAAAGAAAAATCAACCGTGGATTCGGTCTATGTGATGGTGCTTTCAGTAAAAGTCCCATAACTTCATCAAAACAAAACGTTTTTCGATCGGGTTTGTTTTGTTTTGATCAGAAATGATTATTTTTCTCTACCTAGCTGCAACATCAAAACTTCGATCACGTT